TTGTGAGTTCAAGGTCAGCCTGGTCTACAGATCAAGATCCAGAACAGGCTTCAAAGCTACAGATAAACCCTGTCTCAAAAAACAAAACAAAACAAAAAACAACAACAAAAAAAACAAGGCTGCCACTGACTATCAGGTGCCATTCCTCAGCAGGTCCACATCTCTTTCTAGAGCTGCTTGTACTTCAAGTTCTTACTGCTGGGTGCCCCTAAAAGGCATCTTTTTTGGCCAAAGAAACTCAAGAAACCATCCAAGTATCATTCATTGCTTCTACACACACATACACAAAAAGTAACTGCCATGATTTCACAGATTCCCAGGTCTACAGGGTTCCATGCAAGAACATGGCAAAGCTCATAATTAAACACGATAACGGAGGCCATGTTAAACAGCAGGGAGAATCTGTGGCTAAGAATAGATAGTACAATTTCTTTTGCTTTGTGGAGAAATCTGAAAGCCTTTAAAAACCTGGAGGGGAGGAGGGGGGAAGAGCTGGCTCTAGCCCATTTTCCTCTCCTCTCTCTAGGGCATAAGCACTACAGAGGCACTCTAGGGAAGGGGTGGGGGGACAGAGAGAGAGAGAGAGAGACAGGGAGAGAAAAAGCCTCTGTCCTAGGGAACTGTTTACTTAGGCAATTAACAAAACACAAAGGGAGCCTTTAAAATGAGTGACAACTGCTAGGGATGCCTGGCTTTTGTTCACATCTTTGCCTTTTTCACTTTTTTCCACTTTCTTTGCCTAAAAACAAACTCCTCTGGATAGAGTTCTAATTAAAAATGTGAGGCAAGGCCTCTATAGTAGACCAACCATACTAACACAGGGAGTGGGGACCAGCCAAATAAAAATCATGCCACGAGAGTCTGTGTGTCCCAGGCTGAACTTAAAACAATAAGGACATAGAATCTGCCATTCAGCCACAGGATCTGTCCTAGCAGATAGCTATGGTGACAAGGGCTACAGAGACCCAGCAGAATGTATGTATTTTGCTTGGAGGCTGCCTGACTGGTAAACCTGTGTTTATTCCACAAACAGCAGTATTGGAGACATTACCGGATCAGGCACTTGCTGGGTAAGAAGAACGGCCAGAGTCAAATTCTGAAACCCAAAGTTTTCATTCATCACCATAAATACAATCATCTCATTTTTCTCCTTTCCTACCTTCTGGCAGCATATCAGAAGCAGTTTTAAGGGCCCTGAAACCTATCCACAGAATTCAGTGTGTGTCTGGTAGTAGCCAACAGTGCTCAACACAGGGAACTTACAAGTATTATAAAACTGGAGTCATTTTGGGGTGATCTTCAGCAAGAGATTAAAAAAAAAAAAAAAACAAGAAACAAAATAGAGTTATGATACACCCTCATATTCTAAAAAGATTTTTTTAAAAAAAATGACATCTATATAAGTTATTTTTAATCCTGGGCAAAGATTTGGTTAAATACTTGGACTGTACTTCCACCCAATCAAGAATGTTGTCAAAGAAGATGTAATATAAGCACCTACATACTTTCCACCACAGCCACAATTAGTGACACATGAAGCTCGCTATGAGAGCCATCTCTGTCATTTCCTATAGTAGTAACTTTTCATACAAAGCTGCTCCCCAGGCATGCCTTACACTTCTATGGTTAACTGTATTTAGAAAGAAATGTTAGACCCTAAATTAACCTGTAAGCCCCACCTGCCCAAAGGCTAGGCAACTTCCTGGAATGCTGGGAGTTGTAGTTCTATGTTAGACCCAAGGTAACCTGTAAGTCCCACCTACCCCAAAACCAGGTAAATTCCTGGAATGCTGGGAGTTGTAGTTCTTGGAAAACAACAAGAAAGCCTAGTTGCAAAGTATGATGACCTATGGGTTTTGTCCATACAAGTCCCAACAATATGTCTCTGGGTCACTCAGCTGGAAATTTTTCAAGTGGTGGTACTGACTAAATTCCATCTTGGTCAGCATTTACTATTTTAACAAAAGCTTGCTTCAATTTGGCCAAAAAATGGTGAGAATTGGTTTTTCTCTGGCGGATTTCAGGATTAACAGAAATGGCAGAAATTTCTTGTACACTTTTACATTTTATAATGTAAATGCTGCCTTCTCTCTGGGACTTGTTCATCACTGTGTTTAGCCTGCTATATAGCACTCCTTTGCATAGCCATACCAATACCCTGACTTTGATAGACTGCTGGGAGAAGAGGAAATAGAGTGTGGTAACTTAAGTTTCGAGAAAATGGAAGGAAAACACTGCTCTGGGAATCAGGGAACCAAAGCCTTCCTTGAATGGAAAAGAGAAGCTAAAATCCACCTAATACAGCAATCTGGAGCAGAGATAAGATTTGAGGCCTTAAAGAAGATTAGAGCTGGGAAGCCGCTGGGGAAACCCAGCTGAGGTTACTTTTTATCTAGTAACATCTTGCCTGGAAGGCAGCTCCCTCACTTTTCCTGCCTCTCACTCCTTGCACTAAAGAATGAAGGTCTTAACCATCTCTGCCACCTTTTAAACTTTATATAAGGCCACATAGTCTTCATGTTAGCTCACCTGGAAATGATTGCAAGCAAAACATTAGAGGAGATCTTTAGGGCTGTATAGATAAAAGTTATTTTTAGCCTATTCAAAACAATTCTAAAAAGTTACAATCAAAGCTAACAAATTCTCTAAGGTTCAAAGTGATGGAAAAACAATTTTAAAGTAAAACCTTCAAGACACACAAATTAGAAGCAGCAGCAGACTCATCAAACTTCTGAGGGCACAGTCCCTCTGACAAGTTCAGCCAGTGGCTTTGGGAGCAAGGGCTTGGCCTATGCTGAGTCAGGCCTTTGCAGTTTGCTCACTGCTAACATGAAAGTGAGGGACACAAACCAACTGCAAGAGGGGGGCTGTGGGGGGAGCCAGTCTTCCTGCAGAAGAGCAAAGGAGTTGAAAGCACTGCTAGGAGGCATTTTTGCAGTAAACAAGGTGAGGATGTGGTGGTAGAACAGTCATGTACTATGGCATCAGCTGAAATGAGCACCTAAAAAGCTATGCTGTCATCCTTCATCAGCTTTGTATTAAAATGAACCTGGCACTGTTTTTAGAAGCATTTCTTTTTCTCAGTATCATGAAGGACCATGCATGCAGAAAATAATTAATTACTAGCTCTCTGACTGTCATCCACCGAGGATACTGAGGGCCATGGAGTTCTGAACGGCCACATCAGGCACTGTTAATTCTTTGAGGGTAACTGAGGCAAATATAAAATTGTGTTTATTTGGCAAGTGATATGTTTGGAAATATTAATTTTCACAAAATTCACTGAAATAGATAGCTTTGTGTTGACCTGTCTGACATGCTTCATTCTCCCACGCAATGAATCAATTGATTTTTATGAGAGAAGGGACTTTAAATGCCCTATATAATTCAAAGCAAGGCTCCAAATACACTCATTTCACTACTAATGGTTCCATTTTCTCAAGTGAAGAAATGCACCACTTTTTATTCTCTATAATGTCTTTTCACATTGTTCAGGGCCATCAGCTACCGTTAACAGAACTGAGACTGCACTGTGAAAACAACATATGGCTCTTACATAGGCAAAATGGATTTCATTTCTTAAGTTGTCTGAGCTTCCGGTAGTTACTGGAAATATACTAACAAATCTAAGGAAAATAACTGTAAAGACCCAAACTAATTCTGACCAAAGTTCTGAAGTTTTTAAATAGAGTATAGAAGAAAAAACCCAGGGTGTTTAAGAACTAAATAAACAGAATAGAGAAAATAAGTTTGTTTGCATACAACGACATCTCATGGAGTTTTTCTACATTTCTCACCTCTGATTTCCCCTAACCATGACACAGAAAAAGAAAGCATTTAATCCCAAAGGCACTTCCTAACCAAGAACCAGACCATTAGCCTCCAGCTAAAAAGGAGGTTAGGAGCTGGAGACAGTTGAGGCAAATTTTGCAGAAAAAATGATTCCTTATCCACCTGGTAGTCTAAATTTGTTTCAAGAAGAAAAAGGAAAAGAAATAAAATGGTCTACAAAGCGAGTTCTAGGACAGCCAGGGCTACCCAGAGAAACCCTGTCTCAAAAAATAAATAAAATGAAAAAGGAAATAAAACATTTGCAGACGGTGCTGTTTAGGTTCCTAGATACAAAGTCTGGCATTTTCTTAAAAATTCACCCAAAAGATGACAATAGTTACCAAGTAGTTTTTTATTACTCCACAGTAGGAGTAGCTAAACTTACTTTAAATATTCCTTATAGCTTACATTCCTAAATATCTTTAAAAGTTAAAAAAAAAACTTATAAGAGGAACTGCACCACAGACAACTTCAACACAAACCAGATGGAAAATCCAAAAAGATCAAATTCAGCCCTTATAGAGCTCTTATAGTGCTCGTGATAAAAAAGCTGTCGTATAGGTAGTGAATGAAGTATTAAAGGAGAACTTCACTCCAGAAATGGCAGAAGAATACAACTGTTTTGGTTTTTGTTTGTTTTGAGTGCAAATATATAACTGGCCTTAAAAGAGAAAGGTGGAGACACACGACCAAGAAGGTCTGCAAATCTAGTCTTTGAATACAAGAGTGTTACATGTACCCTTTCAATAAGACCTGGATCTAACAGCAGGAAGTGTAGCAGACTCAGACTTCATCCATTCAAGTACAAAAAAAAAAAAAAAAATCCATAATATAAAGAACAGCCAGAGATTTTCAGAATACATGGCCAATCATTAACTCCTGATTAAGGTTACCTACCTGCATTATCTGCAGATTAAATCACATTCTTCGCTTGGCTAAATAATGGCATGTTTAAAACTTAAGATCCTCCTAGGATTTAGTAAGCATTTGAGTTTACAATGCCCACAAATAGATCCAGCAAATTATAATGAAATCATTAATTCATGTTGTTTTGTTGACTCGGTAGCTCATCATTAATGTTTTAATAGACATCAAAGACCAACAATTCAGATAATGATCACATTAGAAGTAGACAAAAAGAGAGCAAGGAAAGAGAGATTTCTACTTACAGGCTTCCTCTTCGAGGGAGGCTCAACTCCTTCTGCAAAAGAAAAGAGAAAATACACATGGGAGATGCCACACCAGCTGAAGTCATCAGGACACCAAATAGCAAGTTTGGGCATTCTTTATCGGACTTGAGTTGGCCTTGTCAAAACACCAAAGACTTTGATGACATAATTTTATGTTGGATCCCTCCCAACACAGCTCTTGTTAAACAAGAGGTCTGAAGTGGTGGTTTATACTACAAATACTTTATCTAATTCTGTAGCATAAAAATATTCAACCTTCAAAAAGCAACTTTCGTAAAATACTGAGTTGAATAGCACTGTCCTATGACTAAGGAAAGTAGGTAGAACCAGGGGATCTATCCAGAAAAAAATATATAGAAGCAGGAGAAATTTCAGAGGATGGTAATTAAGTGAAAGGTGAAATGAAAAGGGCAATTAAATCAGATTCTTAAATCTGGCCAATTTACCCTCCCAGGAAACAAATGCAGCCAAAATACTATGCATACCAAATATTATACTTTGTTATTTTAAAGAGAGCCTGAAAAGGGTTTCCTTCTGGAATTAGTTCTCAAAACAAATGGCATTTAATACTTAGGTATTGAAAAGTAGGTTAATGAACCTCTAAAAGGTAGCCAGACAGCCACAATTACCAGAGTGTTGGTATTTCTAAAATATGCTCTCACACTTATCTCAAATTAAGATCATTATCTACAGAATCACAGAGAGGCAAGGAAGAAGAAAACCACAACCAGGCAAGTAAGCCAAGCAAACCACACACAAAATCCTGACTCAGAAATACTTCCACCCACTATGGAAGGTCTAAAGGCCCCACTCCTGAAGGAGGATTACTTGATGGCAGTAATTAAAGAAAAGGAAGCCATGAGTCAGCAGCAGACTTAAACTCAAAATGCAGTACACTACAAATTCAGAGGAGTCCAAATTTGGTCGTTCATCCTCAGAAATCTCATTTATTTGGCATCTTCTAGAGGCTCCAACATTCTCGTTGGAAAGGCTTCACACTCACCTTGTCTGTCCTCTATTTTTATTGGCTCCTGAATGTTTGTCAAGGACAATGGCCTCAGACATCGCTTCTAAACAGTGTAATTTACCTCAGCACAGCTTACAGAAAATGGTCTTGAGAGCACCCGAGGAGAGGCAAGGGAAGATGTGACACGGATTTCAGACAGGAAGATGCTCAAATATGGAGTTACCATAACGTATCTCTGGTTAGTGTTGCAGGAACAATCAGTAATTCCAGAAATGAAGCACCCTCCTCCCGCACAGCGAACATTTTCCCTGTTTGTTTTTTTACATTGTTTCCCCTTAAATCCATGATTACCCACCAAGAAATTATAGTGTTTGCTAAAGCTGACTTCCTGCTTCTGAAAAGGAAATGCACCTTCATTAACCCATGACAAGAAGACAGTCTTTCTCCAGGATAGTCTCCTTAGGGGCTGAAATGCACACAGAAAACCAATGAGCAATTTTCTGTATAGGAATCATTGATTGGTTTTGTATTTGGGCTTTTTTTTTCCCTCTCTAACAGTCATAATTCATCAGATTGTGTCTTTTAGGAAAAAACTGAGACTCCCTGTACAGCAAAAGGCCTAGAGCCCAGAAAGTTACCACTGCTGTGGCAGAAACTTGATCGGAAGACAGCATAGATGACACTAAAGGTGTTATTAGTAAGAGCGAGCAAATAATAAATCAGATGCTATTATCAACCACATATGCAAAAAGAAGAATCGGAAGACAGAAGAAGAGAAAGAGCCAGTGGGTAACTATGGTTCAATCAGTCATATTCCCTGAAACGACCTGATCATAAACTTGCTGTTTTGCACCCGGAAAAAAAACCTGCTGAAATAGCAACATATGGGGATTAAAAACCCGCTCTGTTTTTAATCAGAAGCCCTACCAATAGGCTGGAATTACGAGTTCTAAATAAGAAGAAAGGTTACAGTGGCTCACATAGCTCCCCTGCCCCACAAGCTGGAGCCTGAGCTTCCAGCATGAGGAACAGAGGACATTTAATAGGCCACTGTCAGCTGACCTGAAGCCACCATGCTAACCAAGCTGAAGGAGCTAATCCACCCGAAGGCTCAAATGTCAGGCTTAGGATGGGAAACTCAATTTGGTAGCAAATTGGAATCAGATGTGATGGTAATAAAGTGAGAGAAATGAATGTGCCATGGCCAAGACCTTGTGAACAGTAGTCTGCAAACATCAGGGGGGTCAGCAATTGTAGGCCGGGCAGGCAGCAGCTACTGCCCTAATGTACGGAGCCCACATGCTAATAAATCAGCACAGGTCAGACATAAACGAAGAGCATCAAGGCATTTTACTGCCTAAGCCCCCATGGTACTCCATGTATGCATCTTCATTTTACTTCCTTAATGTCGATAAGGTCACTAGCACATACTTAGATAATTGGGTAAGATGTGTGGTATTGGCCCAGGCCATAAACCAAAGCTAGAATTTGGTATATATGGCATGTGTTAAATCTGTATTAAGCAAGAACTGGAAGTGGGGGGAAAGTGGGGTACAAAGGGAATGAAGGGGCAAGAAGCATCTATCTCAGCTAAATAGGTTTATTAATTATTTCCAGATTAAGAACATATTTAAGAAGATTAAAGTTTTTAAAAAGTTATTTTCATGGATACTGATTATTCAGTGACTTGGTTTTAGGCTTGTTTTCTGTTGTTTGCTTTGTTTGTTTTGAGATAGGGTCTGAGGTTGTAGCCCAGGTTGGCAATCCTCCTACCCCAGTCTCTCAATTGCTGGAATTACAGGCCATGAGAGTTTGTTCTCAGTGGCTTAATGTATTTTAGAATGCTATTTATCATTATTTTCTTCATATATCCCTCATTCTATTTCTAAGAATGTTAAATAGTTACATTGAAAGTTAATATGAAGTATAAATAATCTTTTCTGAGACTTGCCTTTTCTTGAGATCTCTCCATAAGGTCAAGAGTGGCCATGCACAGTGTGTATACACATAACTGAATCACTAACAAGGCTGAGGCAGGACGATGTGTTGATTCACTCTTGGCTATAGCAAAACCCACATTTCAAAAAAAAAAGAAAAAAGGGGAGAGGGGAGACTGGCCTCTGGGGACAGAGCAGTGGGAGAGAAGAAATGGGTGTGGGGAGAGGAACAGAGAGAGGGAGAGAAAGAAAGGAGGAAAGAAAGAAAGAGAAAGAAAGAAAGAGGGCGAGGGAAGGAAGGAAGGAGGGAGGGAGGGAGGGAGGGAGGAAAGGCAGACCAGCAGACAGACTGAGGATTCAAAGGTTTCCTCAAATTTAAGAAGAGAACCCATACAGAGTTCAGGATGAAAAGAGAAGTCCAGTGAGGGAGTGTATGCCTTTACCAGCCAACAGCAGCTTCAATGGGGAAGAAAGAAAATGACTTGCTTTATTCATAAAGACAGCAAATTGCAATGTTGTAATTATTAAAATATCCAAGCTTGTTTGGAGGCTTTAGTTAATACTATGATTTAGAAAACTATAGAAATGGTCTAAGTGGGAGAAGACTGTGTAGAACCGACAATGAAGATGGCATGAGGTACTTATATACGAAGAATGTGTCTACATTGTGATAAAGAGCTGGGTGTGGGGCATAAAAGAAAACATAAAGAGTCATCAAATTAGGGATCATAGGTTCACAGAGCTTGATGGAAGAGAAACTCAGCATGAGACTGTCCCTATGGGGCTGTCATACTGAAGTGTCTGCATAGGCAGATGGATGGATGGATGGATGAATCTAGGTTCAAGAAAGGGGCTGGACTAGAGACAGACTGTGGAGTCCTCAGCAAATAAGATGGTACAGAGAGCAATAAACCTGAGATGGCAGGGAAGACAGAAGCATTGTAAGAAGGAGGTGAGATGTGTAGGACACAGACACATGGAGAAGCATAAGGGAGGTGCCACACTAGCAGTAGTTGGGTCTCTTCAAAGCAACAGAAACTGAAGGGGGCTGACATGTAAAGATTTTGTGGGCCCAAACCAGCATGTTCTATGGCAGACAGTGTCAGAAACCAGGTCAGAATCTGGAAGTTCAAGTCCAAGAACACTACGGTTAATGTACCTGGAAGGGAAACATGTCAGAAAGCACCTCCTATCCCCACACCTTTATCTCATGGCTCATGGCAGATCACTATGTTGTATGGTTGCTTCTGGGTCTCTTGCTCCAGCTGCCACATGAGCAGTAAAAAGGAAGAGGAGCTTCCTTCATAAGCAAGAAGAGAAACAGGGCCAAAGCCACCAAATTCATGACTAGGGAACTCCTTCAAGATGGAGCTAGAGACTTGAAGACTGTAAAGCTTGCTCCCCCTCAAAAAAAAAAAACCCTGAACCAAACAAAATGGCAATGACCAGAACAAACTAACATCTATAACCTTCCAGAAAGAAGGAGGCTGCGTGTTCCTGTGCTTCCTTCTGTTGTCTTACTTGAGTCACCAGCAGTCATATTCCATTGTGTCACCAAGGGTTAGGACATGTGCTAGTTGCTCTCTCCCTTTTTGTTTAGGAAGAGTTCAAAAAGCCAGGATGCGTACAGCAGTAGCATTTCAGGCCCATAGATGGGAACATATGAGTTAGAGGACAAGATACAACCTATTTAAAATCTACTCAAGGAAACAGAGGCAGAATGAATGAAGAGGTCTTAGCAGGTGCAAGACTAACCTGGGTGTGTAAATGCTGACGGGAGAGAAAATGATAGGGGTGAAATCATTCTGCTCAAGCAGAAGTCCCGAGCACTAGTAGACTTGGCTGAAGTGGAGATTCTGAAGCCTGACTACACATTAATGTCACCCAGAGAGCTTTTAAAAATGCCAGTGCCCAAGCACCACCCCTACAGAGCCAGAGAGAGAGAGGAAAACTGTTTGTAGCAATTGTTTATTAGAGGGTAGTTGTTTTAAATCCTTTTAAAGACTACCAGTTTACATAAACCTTTTACCTTAAGGAGGGAAAAATCTGTTTTTCCTTTAGGGGACATTAATTTCCTAGGCTGTCATTTCAGTAGTGAGAGCTAAGC